CGGGCTGCCAGCCGCCCGCAACTTTCCCGGAGCCCGGCGCTCGGATTCCCCCAGACTTACCCTGTCACAACAGGCGCCATCTTCCACAAACTCTCGCCAAAACTCCAACCCTCGCGAGATCCCCCTGACGCCTCCGGGCCCCTCTCCCCCGCCCCTTCCCTCTTTCCTCGCTCCCCGATTCCACCCAGCCCCCGCGCTCCCGTTCCCCTCGCAGCCGCCGCGGAGAGCCAGACGCCTCGCGCCGCCCGCGGAGTCGGGGAGCCTGCTCGCTGCCTCCCCTGGAAACCTACCCGAGCGATGGAGCATGCGCAGGCGGCTCCTCCGCAGGCGAGCCCTCCGTGTGGTCCATGGGGAGCGCTCCGGTTGTCCGGGTTTTGGGACGCGCCCTAAGGGACGTGCGTGGAGACGGAGGAAAACCGGAGGGGATTACTACGGGGACAGGGACTGGAGGGGTCAGGAGGCGGGGCCGCGGGGAAGGGAGGAGGGGTCCTGGGAAAATCGAACGCGTTCCACAGGCCTAGATGCAACACCTCCTCAAATGGGTGTTTTCCAAGTGGCTTCCCGCTCACTCTGGGTTCCCAGCCCTTTTCATTCATTCAAACGTTCATTGGACGCCTCCCGTATGCTAATTTCGGCGCTAGGTGCTGGAGCTCCCGGGATGCCTGCGGTTGGGAGACTGACATTCCAGGAACCGTTCCCATTCCTTCGGCCTCCTTGCTAGTGGGGAAGGACCTGATTGCCTCGTGGCCTGACCCTTGCAGAGCTCTGAGAACAGAAAACTTTGCAGTCGAGCTCGGCCGCCTTAGCTTGCTTCTCCTTGGGTGTGAAATGAGGTCAGGCCAAGGCCTCTGGCACACCCCACCTCTAACGTCCCTCGCATGCACACGCCACAGCGCCGAGTGGTTTCCTCCAGAAGTGAAAACAGTTGGAGTTGAGAGCCTCACTCCCCCACCCCGACTGAGGACAGGGAGCCCGCTCAAGGCTCCTGCTGCTCGGTGCAAAGAGCTACCAGCTGCGGAAGCTTCCCTAGTATCTCATCTGGGAGCCCAGGAGCACATGGGGCCGACTCTGGACAGGGAACCGGCCCTCCCGTGGGCCTGGCACCATCAGGACACTGCTCGCTGCCCGCAATGTGCTTCGGACGGCCTGAGCCCCGAGGCCGGTCTGGGCATTTAACAACCAGGTGCAGGGCCCGAACCCCGCCCCCTCCCCCTACCTGGAGCCCTCCCTTCTTCCCCCTCCTTTGCCCTGTCCTTTCCTAGAGATTCCCAGATCCAGCACAGCCTCCCGCAGGGAGCCCCAAAACCCGGAGAACTGGAATCGGCTGCCCGAAACCTGCTGAAGGCGCTGCAGGATCGGCGCGGCACGCGCGAGCGGCACTGCGCATGTGCCCAATGCGGGCTGCCCAGTCTCACGCTACACCTCCTTCCCACCGCCTTCTACTACTCGGCTCAGACACAACACGGGCCGTGGGAAATTTCCGAAACCTCGCGAGAACGCGCCCCCTGCTGCCTAGGCTTTCGCCTCAAATCTCGCGGAGCCCGGGCGGACAGGTGTTTGTCTAGCGCCGCTCCGGGCGCCGTTTGTGCCGCGCGTGCCCGGGCGGCGGGCGGGGT